TGAAATCAAATGGATACAAATGGGAAAGGAACAAGTCAAATTATTCCTGTTTGCAGATGACATGATCCTATACATAGAAAAATGTAGACTGCAACTAAGAGGCTATCTGAACTCTTAAAAGAGTTCGGTAAAGATGTAGGATATAAAACCAACACACAAAATTCAATGCATTTGTATACACAAACAATGCCACAATTGAGAAAGAACTTGTAAGGTAAATCCCATTCACAAAGCTACAAAAATATACATATCTTGAGATAATTTTAACCAAAATTGGAAAAGATTTTATAATAAAAATTACAAAGCATCAAGGAAATAAATTGAAGACACCAAAATAATTGAAAATTTTTCCATGTTCAAGGATTGCAAGAATTAATGTCAAAAAGTTATTATCAAGGAATACAGATTCAGTGCTCGCTTCGGCAGCACATATACCAAAGAATACAGATTCAGTGTGATCCCAAGGACCTTCTCAAATCTAAAAATCAACCCTAAAATTCACATGGAAACAAAAAAGACCCCAAATAGCTAAAGCAATCTTAAATAATGACAATGAGACTATTACAGGGAAAGTTATAATACTATAGGCACAAAAATAGACCTGTGAACCAATGGAATAAATTAGAAACCCCAGAAACTAATCCTTGCATCAACAACCAACTGATGTTTGACAAAAGAACTAAAATCACTCTCCAGAGAAAGTGCAATCTCTTAAACAAATGGTGTTGGGTAAATTGGATCTCTATATGCAGAAATATGAAAGAAGACCCCTCCCTTACACCCTATACAAAAATCAACTCATAAGGGATAACACTAAGAACTGAAACCATCAAATTACTAAAGGGAAACAAAGGGAAATGCTGTAGGACATTGACATAGGTAAGGATTTACTGAATAAGACCCCAGAAGCACAAGCAAAAATAGACAAATGGGATTACATCAAGCAAAGATGATAAGAAGTTTCTGCACATCAAAGGAAATCATCAACGAAGTGAAGCAGCAACTGATAGAATGGGAGCAAATATTTGTAAACAAAACATCTGATACAGGATTAATATCAGAATATATAAGGAGTTGAAAAAACTCAACCACAACAAAATAAACAATTCAGTTAAGAAATGGCCCAAGGGGATCAGCACTGTGGCACAGCAGCTAAAACTGCTGCTTGCAGTGCCAGCATCCCATATGGGTGCCAGCTCAGGTCTCAACTGCTCCACTTCCATTCCAGCTCTGTGCTATAGCCTGAGAAAGCAATAGAAAATAGCCTATGTTCTTGGTCCCCTGCATCCACATGGGAGACCTAGCAGAAGTTCCTGGGTCCCAGCTTCAGATTGGCCCTGCTCTGGCCATTACGGCCATCTGGGGAGTGAAGCCACAGTTTGAAGACTTTCTGTCTCTCTCTCTCTCATTCTCGTTCTCTCTCTCCTTCTCTCTCCCTCTCTCTCCTTCTGCCTCTACCTCTGCCTCTCCGTAACTCTTCCTTTCAAATAATAAGCAAATAAATGTTTTAAAAAATGAAATGGGCTAGGGATATGAACAAAGGTATTTTTAGAAGGGTGAAATACAAATGACCAATAGACATATGAAAATATGCTCAGGATCACAACCATCAGTGAAATACAAATTACAACAGTAGGATCTTGGTCCTTAATGTGTTGTACTATGCAAATTAACAGTAAAACTAGCACTCAAACAGTACTTTATACTTTGTGTTTCTGTGTGGGTGCAAACTGTTGAAATCTTTACTTAGTTTATACTAAGTTGATCTTCTGCATATGAAGATAATTAAAAATGAATCTTGATGTGAATGGGATGGGAGAGGGAGTGGGAGATGGGATGGTTGCGGGTGGGAGGGAGCTTTTGGGGGGAAAAGCCACTATAATCCAAAAGTTGTACTTTCGAAATTTATATTTATTAAATAAAAGTTTAAAAAAACCAGCAATGTAGTTTCATCTCTCTCAGAATGACTATCATTGAAAAATCCAAAAATGACAATGCTAGTGATGATGTGGGAAAAAGAGGTACCCTAATACACTCTTGGTGTGAATGTAAACTAATAAAACCTGGAGATTCCTCAGAAATCTGAAAACTGATCTACCATATGGTCCAGCTATCCCATTCCTGGGAAATTATCATCCCCTTTCTAAAAATTTACCCAAAGGGTATGAACTCAGAAACATGTAAAAGAATTACCTGTTCTCCCATATTTATAGCTCAATTCATAATATTTATAGTTCAATTCACAATAGCTAGTATATGGAATCAACATACATATCCTTCAATTAATGACTGAATAAATAAAATTACACACACACACACATAAAATGAAATAATACTCAGCCATAAAAAAGAATGAAATCTTTTCTTTTGCAACAAAATGGACGCAATTCAAGACCATTATGCTCAGTGAAATAAGCCAATGCCCCAAAAGACAAAAATCGTGTTTTTCCTACATTGATGAAGAAAATATATGGAGCACAAAATTGCAATACATATGTGTGAAATTGACATTTTGAGATTTGATTATTGTTCTTAACCATTGTCTATACTCTTGAGGAATAGTGGTCTTTCTACTTGCTGACTTATTTATTTAGGAAAGGATTAAATTTCTGATTACAAAGTAAATTGGAAGTATGTTATCACAAAAATTGAAAAGAATAGTAAGAAACGAAGGTGGAGGAAGGGAGAGAGGGTGAGGAATGTCAATTGGTTTTTAAAACTGTATGTATGAGATACTTGAAATCTGTTCTTTTTATATAAATTATTTCTAAAGACAGTAAATTGTATCTTTATAGTAAGTGAAAAAACAAAAATACAGTTATACACAATAGTGTATGTCTCAGAGTGTTCAGTGAGGGAGCAATGGTATCATGTTAGTTAAATAACGTCCTGTTCACTAATATTTATTTTATAAAATGCCTATTGTGTTAAAGAATGATAAGAGTAAATGTTGCATGACTAAAACAATAAAATTATAGCTATTCTTAGTTTTCCAATGTGTCTAAAATGTAAATTATAGAATTATCCTTCAGAAAATTCAGGTATTTGGTAAAGTAAGGCAAACAGGACTAGATTTTAAAAAACATGATTTTTCATTGATCCTACAACTATTTTAAGTATTCTGTATATTCTTAAGATGTACGTTTTTTCACTAATAATGTGATTTAGTACTAATTCTTTTAATATCATCCCAGCATTAAAGGTTTAAGATATATCTCTATTACACATTCGCTCCCTGAAATTGATATTCATATACAAAATTGTGTGATCAACATTTTTCACTAAAGACACCTAAAGCTATATCTTTTTTCTCATTCTTGTTTTCCCTCACCATCAAATCTCTTCTTGTCTTTCTCATCTCATTGACAGTACTATTCCCTTATTACTCACATTAAAATCTAGGGGGCTGGCACTGTGACAAAGCAGGCAAGGCTGCTGCCTGTGGTGCCCAAATCATGTATGGGCACTGGTTTGAGCCTTGGCTATTCCTCTTCCAATCCAGCTCCTTGTTAGTGTGCCTGAGAAAGCAGCAGAGGATGGTCCAAATGCTTGGGTCACTGCACACACATGGGAGACCCAGAAGAAGCTCCTGGCTCCTGCTTTCAGATTGACCTGATTCTGGTCATTGCCACCATTTGGGGAGTGAACCAGCAGTTTTAAGGTTTTCTCTCTTTCTCTCAAATAAATAAATCTTTAAAATAATTACAAATACTACTTAACTTGTTAAATAAAATATATCTACAATTTAACTACATAGCTTTCTATTTCTTTCTATCAGCCTCGCTCACTTCCAATTGTTTTCTGCTTTAATCTAGCTCCAATTACTGCAAGAATTTCTTAACCAATCTTCCTGTTGTCACTCTTCATATTCATCTGTAAATTACAGTGATCATTTTAATATTCAAACTTCATTGGCATCCTGTCACACTTAAAATAAATCCATATTGTTAAAGTTAGATAACTCTTTGTAATTGGCATGTTGTCCTCTATAACCTCACTTCCTTCCATTCTCCCCTTTGTACACTCAATGAGTTTTCTAGCTTGTATTTGAACAGATCATTCACATTCCTAAATCAAGACCTATGCACATGTGAGCCCTTCTGCCAGGCAGTTTTTTCAACATCCCCATGAATCTATTTCCACAATCATACTCAAACTCTTACTTTGGTCAAATCTCTGCCCCCAAAATTGCCTCCCCAGAGAGGAGGTAATGTGATCACTGATTTAAATGACATTTCAAAGTTTTCTTCATTGCTTGGCTCTACTTTATTTTTACATATATAGATAGATAGATAGATTTTATGTTAGACATATATTTATTGTTTTTTTCTTTCCTCCAATTTGTTGTAGGCTCCATGAGCATCAGGATTTTTTTTTACCTATTAGCTGTATGAAAACACATATCTGATGCTTAATACATGGATGTTCAAAAATATTTTGAAATTTGAATATTTTCTCTGTATTGTATATATATATACACAATATTCTGCATTGTCAAATAAAGTGTGCTTCAAAGAATATTTGTCCAATGAGTGAGGAGTTTCTTAATGTGCACTAAATAAACAGAAACAATTCATTAGGAAAAGTAATTTAGATTTAAAAGAACTCTATTGCTTAGAAATGAATTCTAATCAAGTAGAATCTAGCAGGTCCTCAGGGAAGTAAAAAGCTATCTTTGAAATACTGCTGTCCTTTCTGTGTAGCTTTTTGTTTCTCTGATGATAATTGTAGGGAAAATGCTAATGGTGACAATCATAAGGAAATAGGGGACTTTACTGTTCAATGGTTCTTCAGTGTTATCAACATTAGTTAGTGATACAGTACTTATATATTAGGGATACAGGACTCATAGAGCTCTAAATTTGGAGCTCTATGGGAACCTTAAGTTTCTAAATAACTGTAGGAATTTGTAAATTTAAGCATTTAAGAAAAAACTTATCTATTTATTTGAAACGAGGAGTGATAAAGTGATCTTTATCTTTTATTACTGGTTCACTCACCAAATGGCTACAATAGCCTGAACAGGGCTAATATCAATCCAGGAACCAGAAACTCCATTCTTGTTTCCTTTAAGGGTGGTAGGCACCCAAGCACCTGAGCTGTCTTCAGCTGCCTTCCCAGGCATATTAGCGGGATTCTGGACTGGAAGTAGAGAAGGCAGCACTTTAACCAAGATTCTGCTATGGGATGTTGATGTCATAGTCAGCCTAACCTGCTGTGCCAAAATTCTGACCCTTAAATTTATAACTTTGAAGTTTTCTAAAAGTTGGTGTCTCTTCTCTCTTACCAATAAAATGGCTATTTTGAGTACTTTAAATGGATTATGATTATGTAATTCACCTTACAGCAAACGGAAATTATAATCTTTGAATATATAATTTCTTTTTCAATTCTTAAATTGCCAACTTGGTTAGCATGTAGACTCCTTACCCAGACTGTTGCAGTAATATCTAGGATGCATTTATTTTATGAATTATGTTTTTCTCCATTATTTCATTCTCCACATTGGGGTCTAGCTTTTCTTCTGTAAAATCAAACTGTCAAACCACTTACTTGCTCAAAAATCCTTAATGGTTGCCATTGCTTTCAAGATATGTACCAAATTCTTCATTGTATTAGTTATCTACAGCTACCTAACAGTATTACCAGGAACTTACTGCGTTAAAATCACATGCACATTTACAAAGTCACAGTGTCTGTGGACCAGAAGTCTAGGGATGGCTTGGCTCTGTTCTCTGTTCCAGGATGTTACAAAGCTACATTCAAGATGTAGGCAGGATTTGTTATCTCAACATCTAAAATTTGATCAAAGAAAGATCCTCTTCCAAGATTACTTGGTGGTTGGGAGCTTCAAGTTTCTTGAGAGATGTAGTCAGATGCTGCTGTCAGTTCGCAGCTGGTTGTTGGAGAAAGGTTGCCTCAATTCCTTGTCCCATGTGCCTTTCCAACATAGTAACTTGCTTCCTTGAAATCAGTAAGACAGTATTACAGACAGAATTCACAATGCTAATGCTATGTAACACAAACACATATAATCCAGCACCTTTGCAATATTCTACTGGTTAGAAGCAAGTCTCAGGTTCTGCCCACACTCAACAGGAAGAGATTATTCAGAGCATGATTATTCCATGAAATTTTGGAGCCTGTGTGCCACACTCAGCATGTTATAAAATGCCCTTAAAATGTGGTCTCAAACTGCCATCTTGCTTCTACCCTAGCTACAAATATCTAAGTAAAAAGGTCCTTAATATTTTTCTAAGAATTCTATTCACTCCACCATTTTCTCCTTTTTTTAAGTATCTAAATTCATCTTATACACCACATGTAGCAAAAGCTTACCATAGATCCTGTACAGATTTCTACTTCTTAGAACTCTTCTGGTCCTACCATATAGAATTAATAGTTCCCTTATTATGTATTCCTAAATATTGTTTATCTCCTCTTGCCCCCGAAAGGCCTTCAGATAAATTTAATGAAGGATGTGAAAGAGCTCTACAATGAAAATTGCAAAGATTAAAGAAGAAATAGAAGAAGACAGGAAATGGAAGAATCTTCCATGTTCATGGATTGGAAGAATTAATGTCATCAAAATGTCATACTACCCTAAGCAACTTACAGATTCAATGAAATCCCAATCAAAATACAAAGAAAATTTTCTCAGATTTAGCAAAAGCCATGATAATATCCATATGCAAATACAAGAGACCTCAAAGAGCTAAAGCAATCTTAAACAACAAAAACAAAACCGTTGGTATCTCAATACCAGATTTCAAAAGATACCACAAGGCATGTATGATCAAAATAGCCTATCTATTCCAAAAATATACATGTAGACCAATGGGGAAGAATAGAAACCCCAGAATAATCTACACAACTACAACCAAGTAATCTTTGGCAAATGAGCTAAAATCAATCCCTGGAGGACAATCTTTCAACAAATGGTGGTGGGAAAATTGAATCTATGCATACAGAAATATGAAACAAAATCCTACCTTGTACCTAATACAAAAATAAAATCACAATAAATCAAGAATCTAAATCTATGACCTGATACCATCAGGAAAACATTGAGGAAACTATTCAAGACATTGCATAGGCAAAGACTTCTTGGGAAAGGTCCCAGAAACACAGGCAATAAAAGCAAAATAGGCAAATGGGATTACATCAAGCTAAGAAGCATCAGCACTTCAAAGGAAACACTCAACAAAGTGAAAAAAGACAACTGAGAGAATGGGAGAAAATATTTGCAAGCTATGCAACTGATAGAGGATAAATATTTGAGACCTATAAAGAGCTAAAAAAAACTCAACAACAACAAAACAAAAACTTCAGTCATGACATGGGCAAAGGACACTAACAGGCATTTTTCAAATGATGAAATTCAAATGGCCCACAGACACATGAAAAAATGCTCAGGATCACTAGCCATCAGGGAAATACAAATCAAAACCACCCCAGTTAGAATGCTATTATCCAAAAATCAAAAAATAATAAATGCTGGTGAGGTTGTGCTGTTGGTGGGAATGTAAGCTAGTACAACCATTATGGAATACAGTATGAATATTCCTCAGAAATCTGAAAATAGGTCTATCACATAAATCAGCCATTCCACTCCTGGAAATTTACCCAAGCAAAATGTAAACAGCATATGAAACACTTAAATTTGCCCCCATGTTTATCTCAGCTCAATTCACAATAGTTACAATATGGAATCAACACAGATGCCCATCAAATGGTAAATGGATAATGAAAATGTGTTATATATACACTATGGAATACTACTAGCTATAAAAAAGGATGAAATTATGTCTTTTGAAACAAAATGGGTTCACCTGGAAACGATTATGTTTAGTAAAATAAGCCTGTGTCAAACAGAAAGTATTGTATATTTCCTCTGATATGTAGTAATTAATATAGAATAAAAATAGATAATAATGAAATGAATATCTTGAGATTTTATTGTTGTTTTAGCCCTTGTTTATATACTACCATGGAACTATGATCTTTTTATTTTTTTACTTGTTGAATATTACAGTTAGTGATGCATTAAGTCTGTGATTAAAGAGGGGACTGAAATTAAGGAAGGAAGGAGAGGGATTGAGGTAGGAAAAGAGTGGGAGGGAAGTGTGATTGCACTCTTAGAATTGTAGCTATGAAATACATGGTATCTCCTTATATTAACAAATATTTTAGAAACAGAGTTTGAAAAACTTAAGTACCAGTTAGCCCTTTTAATTCAGTCTCTTCAACTGAGTCCTATGAAGGCCTGGACTAGATACAGTACTCACGTTATACTGGTAATATATTTTTCTATTTGGAGGGAATGAAGAAATTTATATTAAGACAATTTCCTAAGTAATACAAATCAATACTCATCATTGCCAAAATGACTTTGCTATAATTGTTGGAAAGAAAGCGTCTCTTCAGTGTATTATCCATATTATGATCTCCTGAAATAGAGTTGAAGGTAATTTCAACTTATAAAATACATATCAATCATAGTAGCATAATGAGATATAATCAGGACTTTAAAGTCTGCTACATGAAATCTATGATTCAATCTATTGAAGCATTATTTTGTTAACACATGCTTTATAAATTTCTCTTAAAATTAACTTTTTTTCCCTAAAATTTGCCTATATCTAGCATTGCTACCATCCCCTCCATATTTCTTACATATTTGGAACAGTAAATATGATCCAGCCACTTAAATTATTTTATCACAATGTTATTATTACTACTAGATTACTACTAGCATTAGTAAAATTTACTGAGAACTTCCTATTTGCCACATACTGTTTTAAGTCCATTATGTTTATAAATCATTCATACTCACAGAGACTGTGGTTAAGGTTATTGGTAGATCAGTGTTAGATTTCTTGACAGATGAAATACCTTGTGTGAATATAGTCCTGAGCATTAAGAAAGTTAACCACAGTTAAGATAGACACAGAAATACATCCTTAAGGAATAAGGTGACAAGTATCTGGGGAAAAATGGCTGAAGACAGGAGTTAAAGGGTAAATAGGGACCATATCTTTTAAACATCCTGTTCAACCTTATCTCTGGAAGGATTCTTGATACCCACTGAGAACAAATAAAGCATCCTTTCACCTTTGGTCCTTAAAAGCAGTACTTCTGCTCTGTGTCATTTGATTATTGCTGTAATTCTTCACTAGTTGGGTAATTCCTTAAGAATTTTTATGTCTTTTTTTAATGTACTCTTCAACATTCATTTATGTGGTAACTGCTCGATAGTGCTGCTGAATTTATGTCTGCACTAGTAAGGATTCAATTTGCTGAATGTGTGGTCTTCAGTGAAAAAAGTTTCATGTGTATGGGAGTTTCTTACCTCTCTCTAGCACACATTTACTTCTTTCTCCTCCATTCCCTATGTCAACTTCTATACTACCATTGTGTCATGTGCATATTCAACTAGATTTTGCAAGCAATTTTTATATTTTCCTGCAACTTAATAACAAATTCTAGTTATGAATATTATGCAGTCCTAGAATACACTGACATTGGATTCCCCCCAAAATGAATCTTGTTGGTTTCTTTCAGAGACATCAAAGCTTATTTTTCCTTTAAATATGAGAGCACATTGCAATCCCCTTTGATTCAGTTTCATATTTGCAAAATTAAACCAGAAGCAAATGTAGCTTTGTAAAAATCATCTCTCCCATAAAACAAGATAAGTGAGAGAGGAGGAAACAACATAACAATTAGAAGCAAACCATCTTAGCAAGGTGATGAATTCTTTGAACGGTAAAAATGTATAATCATCAAAAAGTTTTATCTCCCTCTGAATGCTACATCACATAGGCATGTGTAAATGCCAACACACCTGCCTGAACATTGAGAAAAACACAAAGGCTCCATCATTCTTCTTACACTGGGCTCAATTTTTACCCTGAGGTGTTGTAGGCACTCATGTAGCACCGCATATTTTAAGACATTCAACATCTTGCATGAATGTTCTTGTGCCAGAGAAGATTATTCAAAATAATAGCCTGGAGTGGTGCCTGTGTACTTCAGAGGACTGCCTAACCCATTGTTTATTTCAAAAGGAGACTCAGGTCCCTGAGAATAGATATTGCCAATCACATTTCAATGTTGTACCAGAACCTCTAAGGAAACGGGAAGATTTGAAGAAAGGTAAG